TGGGTTTGTCATGGCTGCTAAGAAAGGACACAGCCCAGAATCCAACATCCACCAACAGACCTTACCATAACTGCCCTCACAGGGTTCCTGGCAGCTGACCTCCTGCTCCTCCTGGGACCCCCGCCCTGTAGAGCTGAAGAGTCCCACATCTCTGTCCTCCCAGCCTGCGGCGCTGATGAGCCTTGCCCAAGGTCACAGAACCTGAAAGGGTGGGGAAGGCCTGCTCTCTCCCTTCCGCGGCAGCAGGACGCACACACGGAAAAGTGCTCAGACGCCGGGGGAGGGGCAGAGGGTGGGGACTGGTGGGCAGAGGCCGATGGGTGTTATTCCAAGTCTGTGAGGAAGGGTTTCAAGAAGGAAAGTACAAGAATCCGTGCTGCATTTCAGATCAATCACTCTAAGGTGAGAAGGATGGGGCAAGCCGTGAAGACAGAGCCAAGACCACTCAGGGGAAAGTGCTGCGACCCCAGAGGGTAAGGAAGAGTCACGGAGGCAGGACCTTCGGTGGAAGGGATGGACAGGAAGGGCCCGAATCAAAGACATTTCGGAAGAAGTTCTGAGAGCCTGGAGGGGAGGGAAGAGCCTTCCAGGTGTCTTGCTTTGGCAACACGTGGACCGTGGCAGAGGCACTAGGGCGGGATGCGTGGAGCCTCACTCAAGCAGGAGCCTGTGTCCGGCAATGGCACAAGGCATGGCTACGGCCCCTTGGGGTGGCTCAGTCATCGAGCGTCTGCCTTCAGCTCAGGTCATGATCCCAGGGTCCTGGGATCAAGCCCCACACTGGGCTCCCCGCTCAGCAGGACGCCTGCTTCTCCCTCTCCCACTGCCCCTGCTTGTGTCCCCTCTCTCGCTGTGTCTCTGTCAAATAGATAAATAAAATCTCTGAGAAAAAAAAAAAAGGTACCGCAGCCACGAGATCCTGCCACGTCCAGCACTGATGACCGGCAGAAGCAGAGGGCATCTGCAGGCCCCAGACCCGTTAGATCCCTTTAAAAGGGAGGGTTTTGCAGCAAACGTCAGACTCTTCGGACAGACCCCCTAGACAGACAGACCCCCTCAGTCCGACCGCTTCAGAAAGGCAGCTGCTGAGACGCGCCCCTGCTTGAACAGAAGCAGCAAGTGCCCAGAGCTGACCAGAGCTGACCGGGGCAAGACCCGGGCCCCCTCTCAGCCGCCGCCCGCAGACGGACTTGGGGTTCGGTTCGTGAACTCCCTGCCCCCTTGTTATCTTGTCTGTGGTGTGCCGTGTAAGAAGCCAAGTCAGTCACACGGTGAAATGTCACTGAGTCTGGAATCCTACACCTGCTTTACGTTACCCTCGCTTCAGGACTGAATAAAGCCTAAAGCCGACACTGCGAAGACACGACTCCTGTGTGCGCCTTCGCAGCAGGCTCAGGGCACCCTCAGAAGTGATTCAGGGGCGCCTGGGTGGCTCAGTGGGTTGAGCCTCTGCCTTTGCCTCAGGTCATGATCCCAGGGTCCTGGGATCGAGCCCCGCATCGGGCTCTCTGCTCAGCGGGGAGCCTGCTTCCTCCTCTCTCTGCCTGCCTCTCTGCCTGCTTGTGATCTCTGAAATAAATAAATAAGATCTTTTTTTTTTTTTTAAGTGATTCAATTGTGACATTTCCTCACAAGAAGCCAACAACATTAACTGCTACCTTGAGTGTCATCCAGTGACCAGGAAGAGTGGGGACACATCAACTGCTACCAGGGCCATCCAAGTCCACCCAGCCAAACACCTCCCCGTATTTGGTGTGCTAGGTCACCGGACGTTAGGAGGTTCGCCTCACCCTGAAGCACCAAAAGCACAACACGGTGGACACAGGCTGTCGAGAGAGACCAAAGACTCGGAAATCCCCAGAACACAGATCTCAGTGTTGAATCCATGGAATCAGAAACCCTCTTCCCAGGTGCCTGCCAGCCCTTTGCTGCCAGGGGAGACCAAAGTCCAAGCACACCCCAGGCAGCTGAGAGATGAGGCCAGGACATACAGCAGAGCAGGGCGGGGGAGTGGGGAGGTGTTCAGCCGACTGGGAGGAAATCCAGCCCATGCATAGGGAGGGAAGGAGGGAAGGACCTTCTGGAGCATCCTCACCCCAGCTTGGAACAAGAGCTTGGGGAGCTGGGAAAGGGGAAGACGACCATCACAATGAGGTGCCCAGTGCTAGCCTCTGTGCAGGCTCCTTCCGGCAGTCACTAGCCCCTTAGAGAACCTGGCCTCAAGGCCCCGGAAGTGCACTAGGCAGCACAGCCAGGAGCAGAGGCCTCTTCTGGGACTCAGGACAACCCCAATCCCGTCCAGGGAGAACAAAGGGAAGCAAAGGCACCCTTGAGGGCTCCCTGCTGAGCCAAGACAGGAACTGAGAAGAGCAAAGTGGTGCCCCCACAGCCCGCTCCACCCCCAACTTCAAGATCCAGGAAGGAAAGCACGGCCAGAGCTCAGAGGAGGGACAGCCCTTCTCCGGCGTCCCTAAACCTGGAACGACTCCATACATGCCTCGGTTCTCTGCACCCATGGAGATTAATCCCCCCGCTGCCTCAGCCCCTGCTGCAGGGCCTTGAAGGGCCCCAACCAGTCCTGGACACTCCCCCACAGGCCTGGAGCACCGGGCCGGGCCCTGGGACGCGCTAGTGCTTCTCACCCTGACCCTGGTCTGCGAGGTGGCGCCCAGGATCCCCACCGGAGGCCACCGGAACCCCGGAGAGGCTCCAGTTTCTGGTCTGGCCTCGCTCCAAAGCCCTCACAAAGCCTGGGCACGTCCCTTCCCCGCCGGCCGGAATCCCCGGCCGCACGTCTCGCGCCGCCGACCCGACCAACAGGTTGCAAAAACGAAGACGAGTCCGCACACAGACCGCGGCGAAAAGCCCTCCGGGCGGCCTTCCCCGCACAGTAGCCACCCGAGAAGCCGCTCCGGACCCGCGGCACCGGGCGCCCAGGTGGGGCCTGCAGGGACTCGCGCGCCGTCGCCCGCCTCCCCGAGGGCCGACCGGCCAGGGCTCCCGAGGACGCCGCGCTCGGCCCTGCGCCCCCGCCGCCTCTCCCTCCCAGGCCCGCGTCCTCTCCCGCCGCGGGCCCCGGAAGTCCGCGCCTCACCTTCCGCCGTGCGCACTGCGCCGCAGCGCCGGGAACCCGTGCCGGTCCACCGCTCCCGCGGCCCCGCGCTCCTCTGGGCGCCGCGGGGGCGGGCCCCGCGCCCGGCTCTCGCCATGGCAACGCTACACTTCCGGCTCGCGGGGCCCAGCGCCGGAAGCCGCGGCGCCCCATGGGAGCCCGGGGGCGGGCCCGATCCGCCAGGGAGCGGGGCCCGCCCGGAGTGGAGGGTTGCGGGCGGCGCTGCGCGAGCCTTTTTGTGGCGGGGGCGTCCTCGACGCGGATGGGTCGGGAGGGGCGAGCAGTCAGAGGGTCCCCCCTGGGGAGGGCGGCCGTCTGTGCTGGGCTTCTAAGGCATGGCCGGGGTCCACCCGACAAAGCAGAGTCATCCCGGACGGAGGGAAAAGCATACCTGAAAGGGGAAGGACCCGGGGCCCGGGGCCAGGGGAAGTAACGAAGGCTGTGGTTGAGGGGGCGGGGGAGAGCGGCCACTTAGGAGTAGTGGGGCTCGGGGAGCCCTGAACGTCAGGCCAAGCAAGGGAGGACCCGTGGAGGGGACGTGATGCCTTAAGACTCGGAGGGAAAGACTTCTCTGCTGATGGAGCGGGGCTGGGAGCCCGTCCGTAGTGGCCGCGCGGTGAGACGCGAGCTCAGCTAGAGCTCCGGGGACGGAGCAAAGGGACACAGGGTCGGAGGAATCCCCAGGACGTCTGAGAGGAGTGTGAGAGTGAAGGGGGGCGGTGTGGTGCTCCGCATTACATCATCCACTTTGCCCCAGACCCCCCAGCGCCCCTTCCCTCGGCGCCGCACCACCGGCTGGCTGAGCACTGTGCGCTGCAGGCTTCCAACCACTCAAGAGTGTAATGTTGCGGGGGGTGGGGGAGGGCACCCAAGAAAAGCTGAATTCTTGGAGTAGAGTGGTACAAAGTGTGTCCCTGGGCTCCTGTGGTTTCCCTTGGGTCTGGGGACGGTGACACCAGCACCAGCCACCACTGCTGGTGTCCTGGGCCCAGTACCCCCTTGGGCAAACTTGCTGGTAAGAGGCAGGGCTGGTCTTCCGGTCATGGTACAGACCATAGACCTTAACTAACTCAAAATCCTTGACGGATCAGATGGCCAGAGAGAAGGGGAGGAGACAGAATCGGGTCTGGGAATCAAGAGGACCAGTAAGTCTCAGGGCACCTGCCAGAGGCACTTTTCTGGCACCACACTTCTGGGACAGGTCCTGTTCCTGCTAAAACCCTCAGAGGTTATAGGCAGACCTGAGCAGAGGGTGCTCGACCTCAGGCCTCCCCAGTCTGAGCCTCCACTCTCTTCCCTATGCCCCTCCTCCACTCATGCCAACCCCCACCTGCCTAGACGGAAGCCCCAGGGCCCTGTGGCTCCTTGGGAAGCCTACTCACACAACACACCTATGCTCTCACTCCTATCCAGGGAGAAGCCAGGTGGTCCTTGCATGCTCCCCTGGACAGGAACTATGACCCATGAAGCTGTATCCTCAAGGCCAGGCCCCAAGAGGTGTCCAGTAAACCCCTCCAGCTAGGAGACCTCTTCCTCTTCTTACAAACACACACCCAAGAGCAGTCCCCAAGTGCCCCAGAAGAACGAGGGATATCCTTCTGGATAACAACATGTAGAGCTCTGGGTCCAATGGACCAAAAGAGAGAAGGGAGGTAGCCTGCCTCCAAAAAGTCCTCTGGGGCCAGGAAGGGCAAGTGAGGTACACGAGGAGTAAGGAGAGCTGGTCAGCTCCTGCTGTTAACGGGCACCAGGGAGGGGACAAAAGGGACCTCTTAGGCCTCGGGAAACCACTGGGGACCCACAGCAGCCCCTGGGAAAATTACTTGTGTCCCAAGTTTGTTCCTGAGGTTTCCTCCAGGAGGCCCTCCGAAGACCACCTAGGTCCCGGAAGCTGCTCAGCCTTGAACTCTGGGCAGGCCCCACCCATTCTTGGCAGGTCAACTGTGGGTAAATCAACTCCATCAGCTCTTAAATGGGCGCCTGAAGCCCAGCCCAGCCCAGACAGGATAAAGTAACCATAAGTCACAAGGCCTGTTCCAAAGGTTTTTCCTTCCAGCTTGTAGGGGGTGCTGAAGGCAGCCCAGGGGTGAGGAATGAGGCCTGGGTGGCTGCTGGCAGCCCCCACTGGAATCTTCCCTGCCCCTCCCTTCCAGATTAACTGAAACCTGCTAATTGTGGCAGCCCTTGCATGCTCCCCTCCCCCACCGCCTATTCCTCCCTCCCTCTGCCTCCCTTCCCCTCCCCCTTCCATCCGAATGATAAAGGGTCTGGCCCGCCAGGACCGCCGGCCTCAGGCCCCCAGCCTTTCCTCACCACATTGCCCCATTGCCTTGCCTCCACCGGGCCAGGCCCCTGCCCAGCTTGCGTGCCTCCCCTACATGGGGCCCTGCAGCAGCCCACGCCTGGGGCTTCCTGGGTCGGACTCGTCCTCCCAGCCCCCCAAGAGGAGGAAGAAGAGATACCTGCGGCATGACAAGCCACCCTACACCTACTTGGCCATGATTGCCTTGGTGATCCAGGCCGCACCCTCCCGCAGACTGAAGCTGGCCCAGGTGAGAGGGACCCCCATTTCCCCTCACACTAGGGAATCGGACCTTTGGACAGACCCGTCCCCCACCTACTCCTAGGCTCAGACTCCAGCTTCGCTCCCCACCTGGCCCTGACCAGCAGAGCTCAGTGCGGCCAGTTCAAGCTTGGGCACAGGGGAAAGAGCAGAGGTGCAGAGGCAGGACCCTTCCCTCGGGGCTTTTTTCCTTCCAGCGTACACGTATTCTGGGTGGTGGGGGCGGGCAAGGCCCCTAAACCCGGCTGTGGGGGGAGGGGCGGTGCTGGCCCCCCGCCCACTGCGTCCCGGCTCACGGCGCACCGGGCCAACTGGCCGGTTGGCGGGTGGTTTCAGATCATCCGTCAGGTCCAGGCCGCCTTCCCCTTCTTCAAGGACGACTACGAGGGCTGGAAGGATTCCATCCGCCACAACCTCTCCTCCAACCGATGCTTCCGCAAGGTGGGGTAGGGCGAGGGTCGGAGCTGGGGCGGAAATCCTGTGTGTCTGGGGTCGGACGGCCCCACCCAAGCCTTCCCACTCCTTCCAGGTGCCTAAAGATCCGGCCAAGCCGCAGGCCAAGGGCAACTTCTGGGCAGTCGACGTGAGCTTGATACCGGCTGAAGCACTGCGGCTGCAGAACACCGCCCTTTGCCGGCGCTGGCAGAGCAGGGGCGCGCGGGGAGCCTTCGCCAAGGACCTGGGCCCCTACGTGTTGCACGGCTGGCCCTACCGGCCGCCCAGTCCCCAGCCGCCGCCCAGTCCCCAGCCACCACCCAGGGAGGGCTTCAGCATAAAGTGTTTGCTAGGCGATACCAGGGAGGGGGCACCACGAAGCAGCCCAGGTCGTGCAGGCTCTGGGCACAGTGGGGAGGTGATGCCCACTCCACCCCTGCCCTCTGAGAGGCCTCTGTGGCCCCTCTGCCCCGTTCCCGGGCCCGGGAGAGCAGATGCGGAGACTTCCCAGGGGGGAACCAGCAGGCCCTCGCCCCTCTCCCCTGAGCACAGAGCCTGGCCCCTCCACTTACTGCAGGGTTCTCCAGAGCCTGGGGTGCTGTCCGGTGGGAGTCACAGGGCCTCACTTTGGGGGCAGCTGCCCACCTCTTACTTGCCCATCTACACTCCCAATGTGGTGATGCCCTTGGCTCCACTACCGCCCACATCCTGTCCCCAGTGTCCACCTTCAACCAGCTCAGCCTATTGGGGGGTGGCCCCTGAAAGTCAGGGTCCCCCAGGGCTGCTCTGGGATCTAGATGCCCTCTTCCAGGGGGTACCACCCAACAAGAGCATCTATGATGTGTGGGTTAGCCACTCCCGGGCCCCAGCTGCCTCCACCCCAGGCTGGCTACTCTCCTGGTACAGCCTGGGAGGCTCCTAGGGCACGGGAGCTTTCCTCTCCTTGCCCTTCCTGCCACCACTGGCGTGTTAGGGAACCAAGACCAGGAGGTCCAAAAGGAGTTGGTGGCCAGGGCAGCCTGAACCATCAGGCACCAGCGGTACTGAGAATCCACGCTGTCTATTGGACTGCCCCCCAAAGGGCTGTGATCTAGCGGGGCACCACCCTGGCTGGCCCTGATGGTCGTCATGCCTCCCTTACCCCCAGAGACAAGACTGGAAAGAGTGGGGGCTTTGCTTGCAGCAGCCCCTTCCTGATCCCACTTTCTCTGTCCATCTATCCTTCTTTCTACCCATCCATCACTATGTGTCACTTCCCCTCCCTGGCTCCAGGCTGGGGGGAGGGAGGACCTAAATCTCAGCTCCAGCCTAAAGTCCTGTCCTCCCTCATCTGCCTGGGAATGAGGTAGCAGCACCTTTTTTGGGAAAAGGAAATCAAAATCCTACTTGGTTTTGGTGGTGGTCGTGGGGAATATAACAGTAAAGGAGTAGACAACATTTTAATGCCAAGTCTGATTTTTGGTGACGGGGTGGTGACTGGGCTAACCACTTGGCAGGGTCCACCTCCAGCGGGTCTGGCATCCCCCGCTGTGTGCCGCGATAACAGCAAATGGTGATAAGGAGGGAGCGGAGGGCCTAGGGGAGGGAGGGTCAGTCCTGTCGCTGCGCTAAGTACTCCTCACTCATGGGGTAAGGGAACCAACTGGGGGGGGGGGGGGCTCCCAGAGATCAAGGAGGTTTTGAGGGTGTAGGAGCTCTGCCGGCAGAGGCGCGAGTCCAGGCTAGGAGGACACGTTCTTTTGGGTCCCCAGAGCCGAGCCGGAGTCGCTCTCCGCGCCGGGACTCGGAGGGCTGCCGGGGGATGGCGTGGGCGTGCAGGGGGTCCCGGTGAGGGGCGTGTCGGTGCTGAGGGAGGACGGCGTCCCAGAGCGCGGGGCCCTGCAGCGTCGGGCGGGCCCCAGCTCCACTCGGCCCACGCGCTCGGCGAACTTCAGCGAGCACACGGTCTCACCCAGGTCCTCGGGCCGCGTGGAGATCTGCGGGGGAGCGGCGCTGGTGGGCGGGCCCCGAGCGGGCGGGGGCTGTGCGACCCGTCCCCCGCCCCGCCGCCGCCACCGCCCACCTGCAGCAGCAGCACCGCGGTGGCGCCGGGTCCCAGCGCCGGCTGCAGCAGGCGCGTGAGCTGCGAGTCGCGGAAGGGCACGTGTGGCCGGCGGGCCCGCAGCGCGGCCATCACGCCCCCCAGGGCCAGCAGCGAGCGATTGATGGTCCGGGCCTCCCGCAGACGCTGGGCGCTGTCTCGGTCTCCCCGCAACGGGCCGGCTGCCCCCGCCTTCCAGGCACGCTCGGATCCCGCCAGGTCCACCAGATGCAGGGTGCCTGCGGGGGCGAGCGAGCCCGACGTGGAGGGATCCCTGGTCTCGGGAGCTGCGAGCCCCCACGACCCGCGGGGCTCGGGTGCGCGCCTCGGTACCTGCGGTGCCTGGCCCGCGCGGTGGGGATGCCGCGCGCAAGGTCAGCGTGACCAAGGCATGCGACCGAGAGCTGTGCCGGTTCTTGGTGGTGGCGGCAGTGGCCCGGTTGCTCCTCCCCAGGCTCAGCATCTGGAGGGCGGAGCGATAGGACCTGCCCGCTGCAGGGTCTGCGTCCCTAGGTGGGAGCACAGGCGGGGCCTCGGAGGGCTGCTGGGAGGTGGGAGGGGGCGGGGGTGCGTTGCCACTGGGCAGCCTTACCTGGTGCAGCGTCTCCAGATTGGGCACATCCCAGTAGGTGAGGCCAGCCACCTGAATGCCCCCCTGGCCTGCTGGGCCCTGCCTCACGGCCAGCCGCTCAGGAGGCCCTGGGGCTAGGAGATCCCTGGTGAGAAAGGGAAGGGCTTGGTTTCTGAGGTTCCCACGGGAACTGAAGAGCACAAGGTGAGGAGAAGGTGCTGTAGCATGGCTCTGACCTGACGGCCTCATTGTAGATCTCCACCATGCTGAGAGTCACACGATGTTGCCCTCCGGTCCCCATCTCCTGGAACAGCGACTGCAGTGCCCTAGGAGCTATGCCAGGGTCCTCAGGTGGGCCCTGGGACAGGGTGGGGCACCACATCAGACTCACATCCCAGCCCCTGGCCCCAGAAGCCACCCAGGGTCCCCCCTTCCCACCTCCATACTGTAGGTCTTGCCTGTCCCCGTCTGACCGTAGGTGAAAATGCACACACTGTAGCCATGGAGGCAGGACAGCACAGCTGGTTCCAGCTCCCTGAAGACCTAGGGGGGGGGGGGGGGGGGGGGGGGGTCCTAAGCCCCAGAACCAGGACACAGAGCAAACGAACGAAGCTTGATTTCCCCCTGGGAGGATGGCTCTGGGGGCACGGTGGAAGGGTGGATCTCCCAAAAAATTAAGGAGGCTTCCTGGAGGAGGTGGCATTTGCAAGAATTTGTCAGGCAAAGACAGGAAGGAATGAGACAGAAAAAAGGAGCAAGCAATGTGGAGCACTGGGATTCCGAGGGCCACTTGGGAGGCCCAGGGGAGCAGCAAAGGACCCAAATGCTGGGCTTGTCTGCCAGGTTCAGACTCCAGGTGTGATGGGAAGCAGAGTGTATGGCATCCTTCTGGGCTAAGGTTTTTGCTCGGTGAGGTGATGAGTATAGTGTCACCTGTCGCAAGGGTTCAAGGGGAGCGTGCACCTGAGGACTGGAGCAGTACTCGGTGCATAACGGGTGAGCCCGAAAGGGCTCCCCAGCTGTGTGGGATGGTGGTTTGCCAAGCTCACTGGGACCCTGGCCTGCAAGGGTCCGCAGAGAGGCCGCTGAAGAGGAGGTGGCACTGGGACCCGGGTCCTGTTGGCCACCAGACCCAGCAGCAGCCTTTTGAGCAACAACATGGCCGGCTCTTGTAGCCAGAAGGTGGCTGGTACCCGAGAAGCTGCAAGTTCTACTCAGCGTGTTCATGGCTGGCAAGGAGGGCAGAACCCAGAAAAGCCAGTGAGGTCACTAAGACCCTGAACAGAAGGAAGCGCTGCGGGTGACCGACAGGGGGACTCTGTGCCCTGGCACGGACGGGAAGCACAAGTGAGCGGGCTCAGTGAAATACGCCTTTGGCTCCTTCATTCAGACACAGTGAATTGGAGGGCCCTGTCTAGAGGACAGCAGACGGAGCCTGCACGGGGCTGAAGTTTGGGATGCAGGCTGAGACCAGGGGCGGCATGTGAGGTAGAGAGAGTGAAAAACAGCTGTGGTGCTCCAGGAAGTGGGGGAGGGTGCCCTGGCCATCTGCCAGACCCTCTCCTCACACTGTGTCCCTGCGAGGCCAACACAGGTCTGCTTGCTCCCTCCCTTATGCGATCGCCTCTGGTTCCTGAACTCTGGAGAAGTTCTAATGGCAAATTCTATGTGGACAGTGACAGGGAGTGTATGAAGCAAGGTGGTGAGCGGTGGGCAGGAAAGGGGAGGAGGGAAGGAGAACGGATCTGTAGCGGGTCTGTAGCGGGCAACCAGAGAGCACTGAGGCTGCCCAACTGCCTCCTGCCTGCCCTCACAGCCGCCTGCTCCACCAAGGCCCGAGAGTAAGCAGCCGGCAAGCCTGGATGGAGGAGGTTACAACCCTGTCCCCATCACAGCAGCACCTGAGCCGCGCTCAGCAGCCAGCTCCCTGGGCAGTGGCCATCATCTCAGACAAGATCATTTTGCTTAGTTTCCTGGTTTAAAAAAAAAATTTTTGCTTTTTAAAATGTTAACCTTTCTGTTAAACCAGAAAGCTTATTTCCACTGGAACTGCAGAGCTTGGTCAAATGATGCAAAGAGAAAATTCCAGAAGGAAAAGAGATGGCCAGCTAGGCTCTCATTCCTGCCTCCCAGAACCTCCTGCTCCCTTCCCTTCAATGGCTGGAGTTCAGCCACTGGGAAGGCAAATGAAGGGGAACCCAGAGCCTCTTCTCACTCAGGGGCAGTAGGAGGGAAGGGCAGCCCAGACGGAGGGCAGAGCATCACCTCCTCCTGGCTGGCGTCTGGAGAGAAGACCCAGTCCAGGCGGAAGCGACGCTGGCGCCCTCGATAGCAGGTGGTGACAGTGCCACTGGGGCCAGGCTCCGAGCTCACCAGGCTGGAGGGTGTCCCTGGCCTCAACCGACACAGCACACGGATATTTCCTGGGATGAAGATCACATCAGTGGTCTGCCTCCCAGGCCCTAAAGCATGGGGAGGCCCCCCGTCCTCCACTGTCCAAGCCTGCCATACCCTTGAGCTCCAGCAGCCGCCCCGGGCATCCAGTTGGGGGCCCCCGCTGCTCCTCAGGGAGCTGAGTCCCACCCCTGCCAGCTGACAGTGCTCCCAGGGCCCAGGATACCTGGCGGAATAGGGATGTGAGGAAGGGGGCGAAGTCGAGGCGAGGTGGGTGGGGGTGCTAAGAACATAACTTTCAGTGGCTCTGGGCCCCTACGGGGACCATTCTGTGGGCCCAGGATGGAGACCCAGGACCTGAGGACAACGAGGGAGAAAGACACCTGTCTCCTATGGGGTTGGCAACCCTGGGAGGGATTTACTGTTACCCCAGTTTGCACAGACAGACACGAGACCGAGAAACGAGATCACACCCAGGGTGTGTGAGATCACAAGCTGTTCTGATTCCAGCGCCTACCACCCCCCTGACAGAGGGCAGCCCCCCGAGGTGGGGAGAAAGAATAAGGCATTCCCCACGGGCGAACAGTCACCAGGCTACCCAGAGAGCGAGTTCCAGAGAGGGGGCAGATGGTCCTGACCTGACCCCGGGCTTCACTGAGCGAACACTGGCAGCTCTGGGTAAATGTGCTGACCAGTCCTCGGAGGTCCCCACAGCCCTGGCGCAGGCTAGCCATCCGTGCCCGGAGTCCTGGCGGGGAGAGTGTGTTGTGAGGGAAAGCCCGGACCCTCTGGCTTTCCGGGGAGCCCTCGGTCCCCACCCTTACCTGCCAGCTGCCCGTGCATCTGCTGCAGCTCCCTTCGACAGTTCTGCTCTGTCTCCTGCTGGAGCTGCCGAAGGGCCCCCCGAAGGCCCTGCAGCTGCACCTCCTGCACCCCCAGCTGCCCCGCCCCACCCCGCCCCTGTCACTGAGGAAACAGGGCACTTACCGGGCCTGCCTCAGACAACCCCCCTCCCAGTGCCCCAGCCTTCCCGGCCCCTGGGCTCAGTGCCCACCTGGACTTGAAGAGCTTCTGTGGTGTCCTGGGCTTCCTGAAGCCGACCCTGGAGCTCCACCAATGCCTCTGCCTCCTCCTGCGTGGGGGGGAGGGCAGGGGGCAGGGCAGCCGTGGAGCCAGGAGCCAACCAAGGGGGGGGCATGCCAGCAGCCCCGTTTCAGGGATGGGGATGTCAAGTTGAGAACAGCAGACTGAACTGGTCATGAGTCCCCGTCTCCCGACTATACAGGTCCACAGGACAGGGCAGAGGTGTCCTCCCCCGGGCACTGGTCTCCTGGAGGGGACTACCTTGCGCAGACCTTCCCAAGGCCTGTCCACCCCCTGGGGCTCTGGCCCTGAGAGGTCAGAGAAGGTTCCAGCAGCATCAGGCCCTGGGCCATGTTGCAGGTAGGCAGGTGTTCAGGAGCCCCAGACTGCGGGAACGGTAGTGGCTAAGGAGGATACCTGGGGGGCCCTGGTGGAGGGCGCGGGGCCCCAGTGCAGCAGGAGGTCCCGCGTGAGGCTCAGGCTCTGCTTCAGAGCCTCGTTCTCCAGGGTCAGATGCTGAACCCTTTTCTCTGAGTCTGTCGCCCCCTGGCGGAGAGAGAAACCCTGGAGCCGCACCTGAGAGTCAGGGGTCTCTCTCCACCCCCTCCTGGAACCCCACCCGACGCCTTACCACTCCCAGGCGCAGGCGGCCCAGCTCCTCCTCCTGCAGTTCCAGCTGCTGCTTCAGCTCTTCCAGCTGGGAAGGAGGGGAGGGCACAGCGTGGAGCATCTCCTCCTAATCCCCCACTCCAGTCCCGGGTGCCTGCTGGACCCCTTACCTGCCCCAGGATGAGCTGCTCCAGCCCCTGCCAAGCCCTCCGGTCCTCCTCCAGCTGGGGAGGGTTCTGCCCTTGGGCCTCATCCCTTGGTGAAAGGGAAGGGCTTTCTTCTTGAGATGGGGATCCTGGGGTGGGGTGGGCCAGTTAAGACTGACGAGGTCTCTAACCAGGAGGAGGGGACGCCTAGGAACAGGTGGGCATGGGCCCCCGAACTGTGGGCCACTCCGTTTCTGTGGGCTTCACTCCCTCCACACGCACCCTCTACCACGCACTACGCATGACGCACCCACGGCAGTGGGGCACTGCCCCTCCAACGCCGGCTGAGTCCCCTGGGACAGGGCCTGCCTTCCCCTGGGGCTCCGAATCCATGCCAGGAGGGCCAAAAGCTGACCAGTCACCGTCAACAGTGGGGGGACATCGCTTGGCTGGAAAGGACATAAGAACCGGACCAGAGGAGACTGAGGTGGTGACACGCACGGGGAGACAAGAGGACTGTGCAGAGAGAAAGTGTCAGCGGGAGAAGGACCCTCAGCCCCGCTCACCTTGGTCAGGTCAGGAGGACTCCCGGAGCTCTCTTCCGCCCCCAGCTGGACAGAGAGGAACTCAGCAAGACGCACGAGAGCCTCTTCCAGGGAGACCTCCGTAGCGCGGCCTTCGGCTCCCTCTTCCGGCCCATCCTCAGATTCGGAGCACCCAGGGAGGCCTGGTAGCGGGACAGCGAGGCTCGCGGCTCACGTGTCGGAGGCCGGGCCACCGGGAGGCACCTGCTAGGCCCCCTCCCCCGCCCCCCCACCAGAGGTCGCGGGCAGCCCCTTCCTCTCTCGGGCGGCGGGTTCCCTCCTGGCCCCGGGGACGCTGCGCTCCCGGCGCACCGACAGCACCTACCGACCAGGCCTGTCAGCTCGGTCCACAGCTCCGCCGTGGGCTGGTCGGGGCGGCGGCGACCCCCGCGCTTGCAGCCCGCACTCTGGGGAGGGAGCAGCGGGACTTCTGAGCATCGAGGGCGCAGCCCGTGGGGCCCCCTCCCTCCGAGACCCAAGGCCAAGGGAGTCGAGGTCTCCTCTTCCAACACCACGTCGCAGACGGGGTCCTCCGCACGGCCCCCCTCCCCCCGCGCCAGCACCCCGGGAACGTGCGCTGCGCGGGACCGCCAAACCCGCTCCTGGGAAGGGGGACGCCGGCCGCGCCGCGCGCGCTTCGCTCACCTGGGCGGGGTCCTCGGGGTCGCCGGCCGCCGCAGCCCCGCCATCCCTACGGAAAAGGCTGTAGAAGATGTAGATTAGCAGCGAGTAGAAGGCGTACATGGGCGCGCGGGGCGGCAGAGGGCCCCGCTTCGCGCCGCCCCGCGTCCCAGCGCCCCGATTCCGCGCCCGCGCGCTGCGAGACCCGTGCGCATGCTCTGGGCGGCCGCCCCCACGGCCCCGCTCCCGCGGGTGGAGGGCGCGCGCCCGAAGAAAGGGGGTGCCGTAACCGGAGCCCCCGGGGCCGCACCTGGACACCGGCCCCGCGCCTCCCCCCCGTCCTTCGCTGAGACCCCAGGCTGAGAGCGCCCACGGCCTCCACACACCCCCTCCTCCGAATCTCCCAGCCTTCTGGGGGGGGACCCTATCGCCCTCGCCCCTTAGAGCCCACAGCCCGTGGGAGGCCAGGCTGTCAGCCCCACGTAACTCCCTCTCCTCATAGACCCGCCCAGACCCGCCCAGACCCCTCCTCCCCTTTCGGCCCTGTCCAGCCCCTCTGCCAAGCCCCGCCCCCTAGAACAGCCCCTTCCCTCCCAGCTCCTCCCAGAACCCCCTCTCCCCTCATAGCCCCGCCCAGATTCCTTCACAGTCTCGCCCCCTAAAATAGTCCCTCCCCTCTCAGCCCCGCCCAGACGTCGTCACAGCCCCGCTCACACGCCTCTCAGTCCCGCCCACATCCCCTAACAGCCCATCCTCTCCCCTCACAGCTCCGCCCACGACCCTCCCCTTTCATGGGTCCTTACCTTCACAGCCCCTCCCCTCACTACAGATCCCTCCAAACCATCACGGTATTATACCTCAGTCGTGGGACAGAGCTTTCTCCTCCTAGTCCCCTCTCCGCCCTCACACCTCCTCCGGCTCTCCTGGAACGCCCCCTTCGCCCAGACCCCGCCCCCTGCCGCTCTAGCCTCCACTCCTCTCGTTGGCTTGAGCCCGGCCAACGCTGGGCTGGAGACCCGGCAGCAACCCGCGAGCAAGGGAGCGGATGAGCGAGCGGGCGGGCGACTCTGGCCTACAGCTCGCCGCTGCGTCGCGGCCTCGCAGCTCACCCGCCGCTGAGAGCCTGCGCCGTAGCTGCTTCCAAGCCCGGTTCCGAAGACGGCGCCTCCCAAAGCGCAGGAACCAGGTCGAGTGGGCCTAGCGCACGACTCTCCCCGAGGCCCGGCACCCCTACCTCGATTCCAGGGCCCCAGAACTCACGCCCACCCAGGTCAGGTTCTCTTTCTCCCTTCTTCTGCCGGCCTAACTAGCTGCTTCTTCCCCACAGTTGCGTCCAGGGTTCCCAGGGGTCCGGAAAGTTTCGGATGAGCCTATCCCAACACTTAGAAGTGGGGCTCTGGAACCTGGGAGTCCAGGAGAGTTGCCTTTAGGGCTCTGGTCGCCGGCTTCTGCGTTTTCTTCCTCTCCAAAGTTTTGGATCCCCTTCCTGTGTCACATTCACTACCACCCGAGGTGCCATGGCCCCCAGGCCTTGGAGTGAGTGGAGCACGACCCTGTCCCACCTGGCACTGGGAGTGGTGTCTCTCCATGCAGCCGTGAGCACTGCCCAGGTGAGTACACTGGGGTTGGGTAGGGGTGTGTCCCTCTCCCAAACTGTAGGGACCTGCATCAGGTCCAGTTGCCCCGACCAGGGAGACGGTGGTGGGAGGTTGAGTCTGAGGGCCAGGGTTGCATGAGACCCCCAGACCTTTCCCTGCTTAAAGGAAAGCCCTGGCTTCTTTTTTCCCACATCTCCTCCTATCCCTATACTGACAGGCAAGTCGAGGGGCCGCTGCTGGCTTCCTGCTCCAGGCTTTGGCCTCTGCCACCGTGCTGGCCCCGGGGCTGGGCACAGATGAAGACTGTCTTGCTGGAGCCTGGGTGGCCACTGTCATTGGCCTGCCCCTTCTGGCCTTTGATTTCCACTGGGTGAATGGGGATCGCTCCTCTGCCAACCTGCTTCTGGGAGGAGGGATGGTGCTGGCAGTGGCCGGTGACCACCTTGGTGCTGAGGGTCGCTCTGTGGCTGGTCAGGCAGTGGTGCTGGTGGTTGCAGTAACCATCCTCATTGTGGCCGTTTTCACAACCAACACTTATGGAATGTGGGGGGGCGCAATGTTGGGTGCTGCAGGCCTCCTGAGCCGGCTGGAGGAAGACAGACTGCTGCTGCTACCAAAAGAGGACGTCTGTCGCTGGGCCCTCGCCGCAGGCAGTTGGGCCTACCACCGAGCCCTGCACACACAGCGACTGCAGTGGGAGTGATGTTTGGGGATTAAAGTGGGGCTTCTGCCCTGGCTACACCTCCCCCTCCCACAGGGCTGCTCCTGTGGGCTTCCTCCCCTAGGATGGACTCTCTTGCCTCCCAAAGAGAGCTTGCTGCAGGGTTGGCTCGCGCCCGGATGGATGCCTTGGTCAGGAGGCTGAGTCTGGGCACTGTCCTCCTCTGGCTGAGTGTGGGCACTCGCCTAGACTAGAATGAAAGAGATGGGGCCCCAGGCCCATGTTGGGACCTGATGCTGGGCAGGCCATGGTTTTGGATCCAGAGAGAGGCTTGGTCTCCAATAAACCTTAGGAATATGGAATCTGCCCATTCTTGAAAGGGATCGAGGGGTCCTCCAATGAGCTTTCTAAAACTCCAGCGCAGCAACTGGTTTCCTTGTGCAAAAAAAAAATGGATGTCCTGGAATTAGCCCTGGGCCTCACTCAGCCTGAACTCCTAATGACACCCTTGTCAGGAGGACCGTTAGACTGAGAAGACCTAATCCTGGGCCCCGCGACCTGCTAGAGCTCTGAATATCCTTGCACAGCTTTGCAGGTAGCCCTCCGGGACAGTGACCTTCACCGGCTGCTGGTAGGGGTGGGAGAGGGCAAGACTATACCACACCTGTATTACCCCTGTCCTCAGAACTGCACGTCTCCTCCCAGAGCTGATTTGACATGGGCTTATTTGCCCTCTGGCCTGTGCAAGGCACGTCCTGATTTCCCAAGACCCTCACTTTCCTTAGCGGACCCCTCTATGGTTTCCAACCCCGGGATTAGGCAGAAGGGTGGTTTAAATTCCAGGTCCGGAGCCCTTTCTCGGGGAGTACCCATGCTTGGGTGCGGAGGAAGGACACTGGTCTCACACAAGAGGGACAAGAGTGGCCAGCAGGGGTTCTCTCCCCGGCGTCTCCAAAACCTGAGTGTTGGAGGACAAAGGCGCAAGTAAACCCCGACGTAGGGGTCGGGGGATACCCACTATCCGAGAAGTCCTCGGCTTGTGGGCCGCACCCTAGACGGACCGGAAGCGGCGCGCACGCCCCCACCCCCATGATTTCCCCGCCCCCGGCGCGCGCCCCACCACAGGTCTCCCTGGGCCCAGCCCCCTTCCCGCCCCCTTTCTGCAGGGGCGGGCCCTCGGGCGTCCTTGCGCACCCATTGGGTCCGGCGGACGTGCCGTCTAGCCGTGAGTGGCGCTCCCATTGGCTCCAACGGTCACGTGACTGGGAGACCGAGGGGGCGGTGGCGGCGGCCGGGGAGCGCGCAGCGAAAACAAAGATGGCGGCCGCGCCGGGGTCGGTGGCCGCGGCGGCTTCGGGTCGACGCGCGGGCCGGACCCACTGAGGCGGCGGCGCAGGGACCGGGGTTGCGGGGTCGCGGCGGCAGCGAGAGGGCGGCGGGAGCGCGCGGCGCCCCTAACTTCCAGCCGCGGGTCCGCGCCGGCCCCCGCCCGCCGGGCCGGGGGGCGGGGTCGGGGCCGGGCCTGGGGCGGCCGCGGGGCCGGCGGCAGCAGCCGCGCTGGGCGAGGCGGCGGGGCCCGGGCTCCCGGACGAGGCGGGCCTGGCCGGCGCCCGGCAGCTGCAGGAGGCGGCCGGCGACCCAGACGCGCCGCCCAAGAAGCGGCTGCGGGCGGCCGAGGCAGCCGAGGCGGCGGCGGCGGCGGCGGCGGCGGGCAGCGGGAAGCTGGAGGAGCGGCTCTACTCGGTGCTGTGCTGCACCGTCTGCCTGGACCTGCCTAAGGCCTCCGTGTACCAGGTAGGGCCGCCGGCCCGACCCCGACCCAGCCCGGCTCCAGCCCCGCCGCGGCCGCAACCCCCTCCCGACCCCCACCCCCACCCGCAGCCCGGGCACCGCGTGCCCTCGGAAGCCGGTCTGAGCTCCGGGGCCCCAGCGGTCGCGACTCCTGGCGTCTGTTCGGAAGCTCTGCGCTTTCCTCCTCGCAGGACTTTATTTCCCAGTCGTAGTCAGTCCTTTCTCGTCCGGACGTTCCTTGTGTCTCGGTTCGAATCTCGTCTTTCCGCGTCCTTGTTTTCCAGCCTTCCCCGCTGCCCCCACCTCAGCAGCCCCCAGCCCGCCCTCTCAAGCTGACCCCCCAGAAAGCTGGCGACAGACGCCCCCCCTCCCAGACCCGCCCCCCCCCCAGAGTCGGCTTCCCTGGTTCTTGAGCTCCCTGGACTCAGGGAGACCCTGGGGTTCCCTCTTCACTCAAGACCTTCTCTGTTCTTCGAGCAGCCACACCCCCGAAAGCTGTCTCCAGGCTTCTCTTGTGCACCTCTTCTCTTCTGGCTCGCGGCTGAAAGGACTCTCTTTTCCTTTCATCTTGGAAGAACACTGAAGGGACAGGTCATCTTTTTTCCTCCTCTCTCCCTTTTTTTCCTTCCTGGTGTGGATGAACCACCTGCAAAGCCCCTTCCGAGCCTGATCTCATGCTGTGCTTTCTAGACTGCTGTGCCCTCAGGTGGACTCCCACCCCCTCCCACCTTACCCACACCCGGGCTGGCTTCTCAGGCTACCAGCACTCCAGGAATTGTGTCCACCCTCCTTTATCCACGTGACAATTCAGAATGGTGGCTAGACTCCGTCCTTAGCCAGCCACGGCCATCAGAGAGCGTCCTTGGCCCTGGTGGGTCTCACACGTGCGTCACATAGCAGCAGGGGCCACACTCGGCCGGTCAGTTTGCGCGGCCTTCTTTGTTCACCTCTCTCTCCACCTCAGCACCTCCTCCCCACCCTGACTTTGATACCCCTTTTTCCCAGCACCCCTTTGAGGAACGGAACAGGTTCTCTGTAACCTTTCTTTGCACTTAGGGGAGCTGGTCCTAGCTGATAGGGCCTTGTTTCCCTGCTGTTAAACTGGGGACCAGGGGTGAGAGGGCCTTTTGTTTTGTTTTGTTTTGTTTTGTTTTTTAATTTTATTTGTTCATTTGACAGAGACACAGTGAGAAAGGGAACACAAGCAGGGATAGTGGGAGAGGGAGAAGCAGGATTCCTATGGAGCAAGGAGCCCAGTGTAGGGTTTGATTCTAGGACCCTGGGATCATGACCTGAGCCAAAGGCAGACGCTTAATCAGTGAGCCACCCAGGTGCCCAGAGAGGGCCATTTTTGTAGTAAGCAGCATGAGGCTAATCTGGGTTGCCATTTTCCTAGCCTCTAGAGCTCCACGTCCTTTCCTGCTTTGGCATGACGTAGGTTAGGAGGACCCTGATGTGCCCAGGTGACAGAGAGGAAAGAGAAGGCATTGGCAGGGAAGTGGGTTGAGTTCTTTGGGTGGAGGGTACTGGCTCTCAGCTTTTCCTGGCAAGAGGCGCTAGCTCAGGAATACCACAGGTCTTCTGATACAGTTGGGGAGTGCTTCCCATAGTCCTTCAGCCTTGGGGGTATCCCATAGGAGTTGTGCCCTCTCCAGCCCCTTTTTCCCTTGCCTATGATCTTTGGTCTCAGGTGGAAGAGTTCTTCCTTCCTCGGGTCTTAAATGAGAGTCCCAAAAAGCCAAGCCACTGATGGGTGGGGGGAGAGTCCCGGGGGGAATTTGGGGAACTCCCATCCTTTGAGTGGGCTAGACCTGGTCCTGGCATGATGACATGATAATAGGCTGCATAGTGCTGCCTCCTGGTCCCCGGCCTGTGAGCCTGGCTGGTTCAAACCGGCACACACAGAGCTGGTAGCAGAGCTCTGTCCTGGACAGGCTGGAGGCAGGCAGCTAAGCAGCGGTGACGAGAGCGTGAAGGCGCTGAGACAGCCCTGACCTGTGGCCTTCCCTGTGGCCTAGTGGGCTGTGCTGAGCAGCTTCCCTGGCAGCAGGGTGCTAAGCAAGAGGAATCCGTGACGCTAAGCTGTGTGCCGTGGTACCGCCCCCCTGCTCCACAGCCATTCTCCCCAAGTGACAGCCAGGTCTTGGTAGGGAGTTGTTTCCTCTCACCTCTGGAGGCATGGAGAAAGCTCTAGAACATGTGATCAGTAACAGAGCCCTTGACTCTAAAAAGGCTGACTAGAGTCCTTCCACGGATCAGCACTTGCTTTGGGTGCTGGAAGCCGTGCTGTTGGGGGTTGGGGCGCTGACTTGGGTGCATAGTAGTGCTCATGGGGGCCGGAGGGATGAGCCAGAGGAAGGAGGGAAGGGTTCTTGGTGGCTCCTGCTGCATACGACCCTGGATGAGGTCATTGAGGGTAGTGGTTGGCATGGGCGTGGAGACCCTGAGCCATTGCCTGGTCACATCTGAGCTGGGTTTACTCCCAGGAGGATTTGGTCATGAATGGCCCAGGCCCTACACACACTGTTTTGAAACTGGCAGGCACACAGGTTTCTGTGTGTCCCTGGTTGGGGCCCACTACTGGCCATCACCTCTTGGCCTGGGCTCAGCCCCTCCATTTCTGAGGGCCTTCTTTGGTGAGCCGTGTTGACTGGCCATTTCTGGTAGGCTAGTCTCAGGCATGTGATGTGTTCTGTTCTCTGTTCCTACCAGCAACATTTCTTCTGATCCCTTCAAGCCAGGACACGTGGCTTGGGGGCAGGCACCAGCCACACTGTGTGTCTGGGGATTGTCTTAGATGGTGCCCAGCTCTGGGGTGAGGAGAATAGCCAGGGGCCATGACGAGCCCCGGGCGCTGTGCCTGGCTGAGTCTGGGGGGATAGCTCCATGGGCCTCTGGAGTGGGCTGAGTACACCGTAACTTGAGAGCTTGCCCTGTGGCCACCAGAGGAGCTGTGGTGGTGGCCAGAGCTCACCTGGAGCAGACTTGCCCACCTGTTCCTGAGTCAGAGCCCTGGCCCCACGCAGCTGGCTCTCCCACACATCGAGCACGTCAAGCCGCATACCGGGGCTGGGGCTTGCTTTGGTGTAAGAGCAAGGCACTCATGCAAGTGGTTCTCACCATGGCCTACTTCAAGTTAAGTCAGGTTAGGGATGGAGTGGGTACAGCAGGTGCTGGCTTTGATGTTCTCTGTGCGGGTGTTGGGTGTGTCCTTGGTGACTGGCCTAACAGGGTATGGGGCCACTTCCCAGAGTCCCAAGAAGCCACTGGGGCAGGTTCCCAGGTGGGGGCAGGAGGGCTGGAGTTGGAGCAGGGATACTGGTGCAAGGTGGGCAGCAGGACCCCTGCTATGGGGGCAGAACTGTGGCACCAGTGTGCCTGCACCCCCGGTGTATGTATGAGTGCCCTTCTCTGGAGGAGACAGCCTTGGCAGTGCCTGGAGCCTTGGAACTACAGCCTGACCTCCTTCCCAGGCCCTCCCCCAGCGTTTCACATGGGGCCCCGTGTGCTGTCCGGATGGTGCACTTGATAGGACCGTGCTGATGTCAACTGAGGCCCTGAGCTGTGGGCCAGCGTCTGGAGGGGGTGCCGCAGAGCTCCCCGATCTCTTACCATGTTCTCAGCCAGAAGTTCCCTGTGACCCCCATCAGGGGAAGGAGGAGTTGTAGTCGGGGCCCCCGACTGGCTTTCTGCCCTGCCAGCAGCACAGCCCCCTCCTCCCACTTGTTGCAGCTGTGCCCCTTCTGCCTGGGTGCTCTCTCCCCACTCCAGTGTCTCTTCTAGGGCCCCACAGCGGCCATGGCCCCTGCTGTGGCCACCCTCTCTCCTGCAACAGTGCTTGTCTTCACCTGATTGGGCACTGGCCCGTTTCTGCCCTGTGGGAGGGCGGGGAGTATCTTGCCGTACCTCTCACCCCTCGCGTCTCCTGTCTCTTATCAGCGCTCGGCTCAGGCCCTGGCTCGAGCAAACTAGTTACTTGATTGGCAGTCACTGGTAGAAGGCCTAGGAAGCAGGGTGGGCCCATCTTTTGCCCAGGCCCCAGCCAGTGTGACCCTTGTCAGGGTGCTTGGCGCTGCAGGCTCTGTTCTGAGTGATGTTTAGGGAACCCCTGTGAGGCTGCCCACCCAGCTGGCCTGGGATCCTCTTCCCAGCTCCTGGCTCCTGCTTCGAGGTAAGAAAGGTAGCAGAGTAGAGCTGCGGACATGTACCCGCTTTGGTGTCCAAATTCGGCGTAGAGAGGAGAAAGTTCCTGAACTCTGGCTACACGAGCAGCTGTATTTTTCTGTGGTGGCTGCTTGTCATTTGAGTTGCCTTTCACCCTGGAGTGTCTGCTTCTGAGCAAGAGCCTGGCTGTGGGAAGGGCTGGTTCCTGCCCGAGTCCTAGCTCTTGAGGCATCAGAGGCTGTTGGTACAGGACTTCAAACCCGAAACCTGCTGAGTGTTAGAGTCCTGGCTCTGCCCAGAACAGCTGAGTTCCTTGGACATTGTGAGGCCTCTTCTTAGGTCCCTTGAATACAGAGATTGACGAGGTGTGGGGCCAGACCTCGGGGATTTGGGGTGCAGCCTTGACGAGCGCGGTGGGACCCTCCAGCTGGGCTGAGTGGCAGTTCTGGGGTTAGTGCCCTTGGCTGTGCTTTGGAGGGTGGGCTGTGCACGTCGACCTGGGGCCGAGCCTCCCTAGAGCCCCAGCGCAAAACGGCTTAAAAGGCCTCTTGACCAAGTCTCGGTTTCCAGGAGTTGAGGGGTATTTGCTAAGGTCCATTACAGCCCAAGGCCTGGGGTTAGGGCTCGTCTTCGTGAGTGTGGATGGTACCTTCAGTCCCCCTTACCCCGGGGGTTTTGACCGGTGCACGGGAGCTGCCTGAGGCCAGGTGGAGGGAGGTGTTGCTGTCCTGGGAGGGACACGTGCCCGCTCCTGGGGCATCTGCGGAGGGGCTTGGGGGGTACTGCTGTGGCTTGGGTGGGGTGGCTCTGCAGGTGGGGCCGTGTGAGGGGCTGGGCAGGCTCTGCTGTGGGATGGCCACGGTGGGTGTTTATTCTGTTCCTGTCATGTGCTGGGGGCTGAGCCATGCCGTCATACGTGTCTCACCCCGCGTCTTCAGCACGTGATGTGGCCCGTCCTGTCTTTGTCACTTTTTGTGCCTGAGGAAAGGGAGGCGCAGAGATGAAAGCAGCAAGCCCAGGGTCATGCTGCTGGTGACCTGCAGGCTAGAGTTGAAGCCAGGATCTGTCCTGGGAAGCCTTGTCACGTTCTGAGTTGGGGGCCCCTCCTCCTGACCCTCCCACTGGCAGGATCTTCTTGGCAGCCTGGGTGAGCGCTGCAGGGTCTGCTTCTTGGGGTACTCAGGCTCTTGGGGGCTTGGCTCTAGCATGTGGAGTGGGGCATTCTGGCCTGCCCTCACTGTCCATCAGAGGCTTGGTGTGCAGCTGGCATTGCGCGGAGTCCTTGGGGAGCCGGGTCCCAGCTGGGCAAGTTGGGGTAGGTGCAGTCCAGCCCGGCCACTGAGGAGGCTGAGTCTGCCTTACTGGGTGCCCAGACCTGCCTGTGGAGTTGGAGTCTTGCTCAGGAGAGCAGGGAAGACCTGGAGAGCGGGCAGGGCTCTGGAGCTGGTGATGCACCCTGTGTGGACAGACCTCCTGGGCCCAGATCGGGCACCTGGTTTGGACCCAAGAACATCCCGGATAATGGCTGCATGTGGACATCAGCTGTCCCTTGGCTGTGCCAGCAGCACTCTGCAGCTTCCTACTGGCTCACTGCTCTCCAGCTCCCAGCTGAGCTCCTGGGGCCTAAGGGGCAGTGACCCCACCTCTCCCCAGAGAAGGGCAGGCCGGGTGCTGCTTCTCCTTGGTGTCCTATCACCTAAGCCTGTGTTGCATCTAAAGGCTCCAGGAGGAAGGGGGTGGGAGCGAGCCTGGAAGCCTGGGCGTTCCTGCAGCCCACAGGCTCTAGAAGAGACCTGCTGGGAGGGGCGTGCAGGTCAGCCCCCGGCCCAGAGCAGTGGACTCTCAGGACAGTGCTGGGAGGTTCGCATCATATGCTTGGCAACATTGGTGTTCCTTAGGAGGCTCTCAGACTGCGTCCGGGCCTCTCACCCTACACCCCACACCCTGGCTGGGCCACCCGGACACAGGAGAGAAGCCAGCTGGGTTCTGTCGCTCTGCTCAGGCAAGTGGTGGCTGCAGAGCGGGGCTCTGCCCACGTGGCCTCCCCCTAGAAGGCGCCGGAGCTAGAGTCTGTGGCGGGGCCCCTCAGCCCCTGCAGGCCCTGGACGCAAAGGGTCTTGGTGTCCAGTCAGGCTTCCTCACCGGAGGCGCCCGGCGGTGGGTGTGTCCTCACTTCCGCGGCTGGGGTGGACTGAAGTCCCCTCCTCCCAGGAAGACGCAGTTAGAGGACACAAGCGCCGCCCCCCTGTGCCTCGGCGGGCAGCAACAGTCCTCTCTCGGGGACTGTGGTCTAGCGAAGTCAGGCCTGTGCTGGGCTCGGCCCTGGGGGTCCCGTGACCAAGCCCGTGCCTCCCGCCAGGTGGACGGGTCCTGTGGTGCCCGTGCCTGCGCGCCTGCCCGTCACTCACGCCGCCTGTCTGGCTTCTCCACCGGCCCTGGGGGCGGACGGGATATGGTGCTTTCCCGCTGCTGCCCCGTGAGCAGGCCTCAGCTCGTCCTAGCTGGGATTCCCCACCCCTGCGGCCCCCGTGTCCAGAGCTGGCACTGGCCCACCCTGCCGGGCCCCTTCCTCCAGCCTGAGCCCAGCTAGCTCGCTTCCTCATGATACACGTTTTAATTCTTGGCCTGACTTAGAAGTGGAGATTTTTAGTACGGATAACCTGTGGTGTTTGTGTGGACGTGGATTTTGTGAATGAGGCCTCTGTCCCCGGCCCTCCCACCCATACGGTCCTCAGCGCGTAAGTCCCATCGACTCACCAGCCCCAGCCCTGGCACACAGGTGCCACGAGCTCCCTCGGCCTCCCACAGCTCCTTGGCTCCGGGTGTGCAGATCCCTGAGACGATGGGATGGCAGCCGGTGTTGACCGAGGGTCCCACGTGTGTGGGCGTGGCTAGGCCTCTGCCGCGCTGCAGCTCCCCCAGAAGTGTCCCGGACCTCAAGGGAAGCTTGCGCCTGGTGGCTTTCTGGAGGTTTGCCGCAGCTGGTGAGCCCAGGCCATCTGCCCGCTCACCCTCAGCTGGCTGTGGGAGAGTATCCCGAGTGGAAATCCAGCTGACCCTCAGCAGAACCCCCGCCTGCCCCCCAGCCCCCAGCATTCCCTGACCTCTGCCCCTGCAGGTTTTTACCAGCCAGGGCCAGGCCTGGGGAGCTGTGTCTGCCCTGAGGGGACGCTCAGCTCAAGTCTTTGCTCTTGTATCTCTTGGTTTCTCTGCGGGTCTCTGCTACCCCTGGAGGGCCAGGCCCACAGCCTGTGTATTTCTCTGAAAGGCACCAAATGGGCACTCAGGACGTATGTGTGGAACCAGAGACCTAAGACTAGAGTTGAGCCTCGGCCCAATGTCGGCATGTGCAAGGACTCCCGGCAGGGGGCGGGGTGCTGACAGGCAGTGTCTGGGCCTCAGGTCTGCAGGTTCCCAGAGGAAGGGGGTTTGCCGCCTACTGAGCCAGGCGGGCAGTCTGTCTTGCCCGTGGCCCCAATTCTCTCCTCCAGGCATGCACTGTGCCCACACACCCTTGTCCCAGGCCAGCTAGGCCTCTCTACCTGCCACAGCTCTGTGCCGCTAGCTTGTAGGAGGGTCCCTGCAGGACACCAGCCTTGCTGCGTGGGTGGCAGCTGCCTTCTCGCCTGCGCTGGCCAAGGAGGGCTGCGGTGGAGGGGCCAGGCCAGGGGTCTGTCTGAGCCAGGTCCCCAGCCCCCAGCACAGGGGAGCAGTGTCTGCTGCTACTTGATAGCTGCTGGCTATGTGCCACTGCCAGGCTTGGACAAGAGTCTGTGTTCCCGTAGGTGTCCCGAAATCAGGGCCTCCAGGGGACCCCTGAGACCGTCCTGGGCCCCTGGGTCAGGGAAAGGTTCCAAGCCCCAGTGTGGCCCAGCCCGTCCCCACTAGTGGGCCTGCCTCAGTGGGGCTCGGTAACCTCTGCAAGCCCCCAAGGGCCACCTTTGTGTCACCTGCCTCTCCACGGGAGCCCTACTGGCCGTGTGTTGGCCGTGTTCCAGGGAGAAGGCCCGTCCCTCCCGAGCAGCGGCTCTGGCTGCCTCTCCGCACCTGCAGGCCCTTCTGCGGCGGGAGCCCGCGGGGCAGGCTGGTGTGTGCGCGTGCACGTCCTGCAGGTCTGTGAGCTCATCTCCCTTTCCTTCTTCGCAGTGTACTAACGGTCACTTGATGTGCGCTGGCTGTTTTATCCACCTACTAGCAGATGCCCGGCTGAAGGAGGAGCAGGCCACGTGTCCTAACTGTCGTTGCGAGATCAGTAAGAGCCTTTGCTGCCGCAACCTGGCCGTGGAGAAGGCCGTGAGCGAGCTCCCCTCCGAGTGTGGCTTCTGCCTGCGCCAGTTTCCCCGCTCCCTCCTGGAGAGGCACCAGAAAGAGGAGTGCCAGGACAGGTGACCGCGGGCCGGCCCGGCCGCCGGAGGCTTCGCAGCATGCCGGGGCTTGGGCGGGGCTGAAGGCCAGCCTGCTGCAGGCGCGGCCCCCGAGTGCTGGATCTTCTGGTTCGTCTTTGTTGCCCTGACCCTGGGTTCTGCACACATTAGCCCAGGGACAGCCTTGCAGGAATGGGCCAGGCTGAAGCCGCTCAGGACCCGAGCCCTGGCAGGGAGCAGGAGTGGGCCCCACTCTGGACCCACTGGCTGTTTGTGCATGCCCCTGGCTCTCCAGGGTTCCCTGGCTGCATGGGGGCCTCTTACGAGCGGGCCCAGGAGAGCACGGCCAGCTCTGGGAGCTCAGCGCGAAGTTGCGCGGGCGCCCGACCCAGTCCCTGCCGGCCAACCCTGCTGTCTGCCAGTGCTCAGGCCCGCGAGCCTCACGTGAAGCAGAGCTGCATAGGGTCCAAGACCATGGTCAGTGGCCACCGTTGCCAAGCACAACAGTCTTCCCAGCAAAGGATGTAGGTGGCACGTGGATTCACAGCTCTCCTGTGCTCCTTTTCCCTCAGTCTCTCACACGCACGCTGACTCCTTCCTGGGGGCTGGCACACGGTGAATATGTCCTTCACGGGATAGTTCGTAGGAGTAGGGCTGGACAGGGGCTCACCTTCGGAGGACCGCTGGGCAGAGCCACGTCCCGCGGGGCACAGCCCATGACCATGGTGCTCGCCTCCTCCCCAGGGTGACCCAGTGCAAATACAAGCGCATCGGCTGCCCGTGGCACGGCCCCTTCCACGAGCTGACGGTGCACGAGGCCGCCTGTGCCCACCCCACCAAGACGGGCAACGAGCTGATGGAGATCCTCGACGAGATGGACCAGAGCCACCGCAAGGAGATGCAGCTGTACAACAGCATCTTCAGCCTGCTCAGCTTTGAGAAGATTGGTTACACAGGTGAGGCGCCCCGCCGCCCACTGCATGCCGCACGGGGGGCAGGGGGGTGTGCGGCGGCCGGGACCTGGGGGAGCAGTGGGCTCTGAGCGGCAGGCACAGGCCGTGCTGGGTGGCCAGGCTCTGGACAAGCTCTCAGTGAATGGGAGGCCACCTTGGGGGAGAAGACGTGCCAGAGGCCAAGCACGGGAGGGGCCGGGGCAGGACCCCAGGGGCACCTGCATGGCTCTCAGAGGCCCTCTCACCTGTCCTCCCCTCCCTGGCCCCACCACCCTAACAAGGGTGGCGTCTTACTGCGCAGGGCTGCACAGCCCTTGGGACGGTCAGTGTCTGAGCAGAAGGTGGGTGTGTCTTGGAGGGCCCGGCAGCCAGGGGCCTGCCCTGTGGAGCCAAAGGCGAGAAGAGCACTCAGCACATCCGGTCCTGCCTGCAGGCCGATACTGCCGTGGCCGCGGGGCTCCTGAGGCCATCAAGAAGATGCCCAGGGGCAGGGCTCCTGCATGAGCTGAGGGTACTCCGCTCAAAATGCAGAGCTGGGAGTGGACGCCCAGGGACGGGCAGGCTGGACCGCGCTCAGGCCCGCTGGATCTCATGGGCTCTCCTGGCCACGGCCACAGCTTTTGGACATGCTGGGGAGCAGGAACCAGGCCAGGGCCTGGTCCAGACACAGAGAACAGCAAGAAGCACCTGCTGACACAGGGGCCGCTGAGGGAGACTGCGGCCCTCTACTGCTCAGCCCACAGCGGGCAGCCAGCTCAGCATCAAGGGCGGTCACAGGCAACCGGTCGCGCCATGCTGCCTGGACTAGGCCTGGCTAGGTGTGGGCCTGCACAGGCCTGAGAGGCGAAGGGCCCGGCAGCCTCAGCACCAGAAGGTCATGGCCCATGGTTAGTTGCAGCCTCAGCTGCCCTGCTGGGCACCATGGCACAAACAGTCCAGGCCAGGCCTTGCGAGTCTGGGCAGGCCGAGGCATCATGACGGTGGCGGTGGCCGGGCAGGGATCCCCGTGCACACAGGAAGGACTGGCCGCCTCCGTGGAGGAACTCGCGGGCCGCGGGCCACGGGCCCCGGGCTGTGCTGAGAGAACTGTGTGACAGCACAGGTGCCCAGCACCGGGCCACATGCCGGCGCTCCGCCTTGCGCCCCATACAGGCTCTCGGGCCGTGTGCCCGCCTGCCGGCTTTTCTGGCAGCTCTGTATCCGAACCAATAAAGTGCACTTGTTCTCAGAACGCATCCTGTCTGTGTGTCTGCTTACCCACGCCCCCGGGTGGGCCTCCCTCTGCCTGGGCTGGGCCCTGGGGGAGGCAGAGAGGGAGGACAGCGAGGGTCGGGCCGCTCACTTCTTTCAGCGCCTGGACTCCCTGCCGCTAATGCGTGTTACTTCTGTTTGTAGTTGTTTCCCCCAAGCTTGTGTGCGCCTCCATTTGCCATAATTGCGTTTGATTTGCCTTGTGACAAGTAGAGCACGCGCTGTCCTGCGGGTAAGTTGCCTTCCTCCCCGGCTGAGCCTCTGTCCTCGCTCGGCCTCTGGAAGGCGCCGCCCCGGCCCCGCCTGCACTGACGCCGGCTCTTCCGGCCTGTCTGTCTCCACAGAGGTCCAGTTCCGGCCCTACCGCACGGATGACTTCATCACGCGCCTGTACTACGAGACGCCGAGGTTCACGGTGCTGAACCAGACGTGGGTCCTGAAGGCGCGCGTGAACGACTCGGAGCGGAACCCCAACCTGTCGTGCAAGCGCACGCTGTCCTTCCAGCTCCTCCTCAAGAGCAAGGTCACGGCGCCCCTGGAGTGCTCCTTCCTGCTGCTCAAGGGCCCGTACGATGACGTGAAGATCAGCCCCGTCATCTACCACTTCGTCTTCACCAACGAGAGCAACGAGACGGACTACGTGCCGCTGCCCATCGTCGACTCCGTGGAGTGCAACAAGCTGCTGGCCGCCAAGAACATCAACCTGCGGCTCTTCCTGTTCCAGATCCAGAAGTAGGCGGCGCCGCCCGGCTGCCCGGGCCTGCCCACAGTGGCTTCACCGTGCTCGCTGACCACTTCAGCGGAGGAGGAGGAGGAGCCAGCGCGAACACTGGGAAAGTCTGCATGCGTGCGCGGAGGTGGGAGTGCTCGCGCCTCGCCCTCTGCCCTGCCTCCCCTGGCCGGGGCACCGGAGGCCGGGCTACCTGTGGAGGAGACGACGTGGTTCAGGGCCACGCCCTGGCCCCCAGCGGCACCGCGAGGCGTACTGTCTGCTCCGGGCCGGGCTCAGGGAGCACGCGGACTTCAGACGGCATATTTGATGCAATTAAAAAGGCACCCTTGTTTCCTACTTTCTGTTTTGTTTGAGGGAAAGGCGTAGCTGCGACTGGACATTGGGGGAGCTTTGGTTGGGCCTGGGGGCCAGGGCCAGAGGCTCTTGTGCCTCCGCCACCGTGCACACCCCCACCGGAGACTTGGAAGCATTGCTCCCTCCGCCACAGGCCTGCACAGGGGAGCAGCGGCCCCAGTGCACCCCCACCCCCAACCAGCTGCTCCAGAGAGGCAGGACTGGGCCCCCTGGGCTCAGCAGATGCTTCAGAATCCAGGGTGAAGCTCTGTCTCTTTCCAGGAAAACGATTGAAGTCTTCACAGGCTCTTCTCTAAGTTATGAAATTTAGCAAGAGAGAATCTATTTTCTGTATTCAGCCTTGAGGGCACAGCACCCCAGCCTGAGGGAAGCTGTGGGGGTTGCTGGTGATAAGCCAGCCTGGCTGGGTGAGGGTTTGAGTGGGCCGGCCCCCCCCAGCCTGCTGTCAGGGACTGGCTGCCGGCCCTGTGTTCTGGGGGCCCCTGTGGAGGTCAGTCCTTGGGCAGCACGCTTTCTCACTGGAGGGGGCTCTTCCCAGCCTCCACTTTGCTGCTCCCATGGCCCTGGCCTGTGGCAAGCAGGCCTCAGTGTGTGGGCCTCACATCGGGGGAAGGAGCCCTGCCTGGAGGACCCTGAGACCCTCAGAGCTGCTAGAAAGGGGAAGTTTGGCCCCCCGCCTTTGCTTGGGAGACACGGCTCTTCTGCGATAGGTTTCTGTTGCTTCAATACCAAAGAACCGTTTCCTCTGCCCCTGGCCTGGCCTGCCCCATGCTTCAGAGCAGTCCTTCCCCCCGACACCTCCCCACCTCCCCATTTCCCGGGCCGAGTCGGCTCAGCATGCAGGGGAGCCCAGGCAGCAAGAGTGCAGAGCCGCAGGCCTGCATGGCTCTTCCGTCCCTCCCCCTCCCAGCTCTGAAGCTGGGGGCTGAGAAATGGAGGCAGGGAATCCTGGGGTATTGACAGGTTCATCCCAGTGCCTAGCCCAGGCAGCCCTCTGAGCCAGTTCTCCCCCAGGGCAGCTGGCCTAGTTATACTGAGAAGACTGCTTAGCCTCCCAGTTTCCAGCCTAGGGCACGGGGCTCACAGGAGATCCCCTCCTGCGAGGCCGTCTGTGCCCGGCTGCTGAGGGCACCCAGAGGTGCTATGCTTGCTTTCCTACCCTCCACAAAGAAAGATGCCTCCCCAGCCCCCAGCACATCCTTGGGGGCACCCCCTGGCATGAGTCCCACTGCCCTTGGGGGCTGCCCCCCTACCTGGCAGGCATGGAGGAGGACGCTCAGAGTGCTGTTTGCCAGGTCTCATGTGTAGAGGAGACGGTGCTGTGTCATCGCATCTCAGCCTCTCTCAGGGGTAGACACCATCTCTAGAGCGTCTGGATTTCAGGGTGACCATGTGGTTGAGGAGCCAGGGAAGGCCGGGCTTGCCTGTTTGGGTGCATGCATGAGAGATCGGAGTCCGCAGAGGGGTGGCGCCCAAAGGCTCTCCCAAGTGGGGCAGGGTAGGGGGCAGCAAATCTCTATGCAGGTCAGGTACGTGGCTGGGCCGCCTCAGCCCTGTTTCTGCATCCCCAGGTCTAGCAGCCCTCTGGGATGGGGGTGGCAGGTGGGCTGGGATCTGCACGCCAGGGGCTTCTGGGTGCTGTGGGTGCATAGCCCACTATTTCCGGCAGCCCAAGGGCGTGCGGGGGACAGAGTGGCACCCACACAAGGCTCTCCTTGTAGGAGTACGTGTCTGGGGGTGCCCGGGAGGAGTGGTAATACATCCCAGCAACTGTCCCCAGCATGGCCTCCACCCGGTGAGGGTCAGCTCGGCAGCTGAGGCTTTCAGCTGCTGGAGACAGGTACCCCGGGAGATTGTGGTGTGTCTCAGCCACTCCTGGGAGCTGGCACCATAAACCTCCCTGTGGCATCTCACCGGTGGGGTTGATTTACTGGGGAATGTCCCCTCCATGTTGTTAGAAAGGAGAAAACACCCGCGGTCTTTCTCCAGGACCCCTTGCCATCTTGGCGTCCTGACCTAGAGAGAGGGGGAGGAACTGTGGCAGGTGTGGGGGAGTCCTGGGGACCCCTCCAGTCCCTGCCATCACCCCTCCCCTATGGGCACTACATCCCTCGGCTCACCCAAGTGAGACATTTACAAAGATAATAAAAGTAATTTTTTAAAGAGTAAAGTGAGAGAGATGTTTTTATCACTGTGGGAAATGACTTACATGTCACTATTGTGGTCTGTGTTCTCTTTGGATATTTTCTGTATGTAACTATGGTTTCAAAAAAATTCCAAACCACGTTTTGTCTGTGTTTCCTTAAATGAGAAGCCAGCTTCATGGACGAGTGTCCCTGGGCTCTGCCAGCAGCCTGGACAAGAGTCAGAAGCTGCTGCCACCAAACACCCCCCCACCCCCGCCCCTGCTCTGTTGGGCCCCTTATACGCATGCCCTGTATATGCATATGCATGCCTGATCAGTAGGCAGAGAGAAGCAAGGTCCTCTCTGCTGTCTTGTGAATGCTGAACGCTCCCAGCAGCCCTGGTTAGACTCCCTCTGCCGTTGGCCAGTTGAGCTGAGCCCGTCTACACTTCCGCATCCTTGCTCTCCCCCCCCCCCGCCCCGTGTCCACCTTGCCCCTGGCTGTGCTCCTCACACTCCCCCAGCCGGCCCTCCAAGCAGCTCTCTTGGTTTCAGGGCCTTCCTGTTCGGCTCCCCACCCCCAGACCAAACTAGGGACCCAAGAGCGCTTTACCCTTCCAAGAGAAGAGGATTACCTGGGTCCCACTTCCCATCTCTTAAACTCCCTCAGGCTTGGCCTTGCTCGCATCCCTGAAGCCTGGCCGCTGGCCATGGGCAGTCTTCCCCGGACCCAGAGACCCATCTACGCTCCCCATCATTCCCTCCACTACATGCCTTATGGTCCAGCCACGGCCTGAGGGGGCCTACCCTGTTGGGTCTGTTTCGATTTCCACAGAAATTAGTGCATCCACCATCCACCCTTTCTGGCCCTCCTCTGGGGCCTTTGGACCGCGGCCTCGGCACCCAGCGCCCAGGGCTGGACCTGCCGTGGAGTGGCAGGTGTCTGGCTCTCCAAGCGGGAGACAGGACGTGCGTTCAGAGGTCGCGGCCCGGGTGCACCGCGCCCACGAGGGGCCAGTGCGTGTGCATCGAGGAGGAAGCACTCGGTGCTGTTCATTTTGGAAAACACGTCCACGCCCCTTTCCCTGGCCAAGCCTTGGGGGTTTGTGTCCGCGAACGTGACGCCGCTGTGGCTGCCTTCGCCGGCGTTCCGCAGGCACCGTGAAAGGGGCGGGTTTGACTCCGCGCATCTCTCCAGTCCTCTGGGGTCCCGGACCCTAAACCCCTCCACCTCCTCCTGCGTGAAGGCGGCGCGTCCCCCAGGTAAGGTCGCAGGTGTGGGCCCCCGCAGGTGTGGGAGAGGTTAGCGGCAGCCCGCGGGCACTAGCCAAGAGACCGCACCCCAAGGGCGGCTGCGGGGCCGGGGTGGAGCGTGGGGTGGGGCTCAGCTCCCACGCGGCCCTGGGGGTCTGGGGAGGTGCGGATCCTCCCGCCGCTCTCTCACCGCCCTTCCCATCAGGACGCCACCCGGACCACAGCTCCCAGGATGCTTCGGGCGGCAGGACTACATTTCCCGGGAGGCTGCGCCCCGGCAGGGGCGGGGCATGGGGCGGGGCCGCGGCGTTAGCGCGGGAAGTCCGGAGACCGGCGCGCGGTTGCCGGAGCATGAGCGTGGAGCGAGAGCTTCGCGGTGAGTGTCCCGGCCGGGTGCGGGGCGGGGAGCGGGTCCGGCCCGCCCGAGCGGAGGGGCCCAGCCTCCCGGCTCCGTCTCCCTCTCTCTGCAGAGCTGAGCAAGGCCAAGGCCAAGGCCCAGAGGAACGGGCAGCTGCGGGACGAGGCCGCCCTCTGCCACCAGCTGGGGGAGCTCCTGGCCAGCCATGGTGCGCGCTCCGCGGCCGCCCCGGGCTGTGGTCCGGGACCGGGTCAGCTGGGAGGGTGGGGAGGGGCGCCGGGAACCTTGCGGAGCGGGCAGCCCGGGGCCAGCCACAGCCTCGCCCGCCCGCCCGCCCGCCCGCCCGCGCGGCCCCTGGCTGACTGCCCGGCGGGGGCTGAAGCCTGCCGTGCCTCCCGCCCAGGACGCTACGCAGAGGCCCTGCGAGAGCACCAGCATGAGCTCCAGCTCCTGGAGAGCGTCGACGACCCGCTGGGCTGCGCGGTGGCCCACCGCAAAATCGGAGAGCGACTGGCGGAGCTGGAGGATTACTCGGCGGCCCTGAAGGTGGGCAGGGCAGGGACAGGGCAGGGACAGGGCAGGGCCCACGGCCCACCTCTACCCCCCAGCCCCACCCCACCCCCAGCCTCCTTGCAACAACGTCCAGCCCTCCAGAGTCCCCACTTCCTGCCGGTCCCTTTCTGAGGAGAGAAGCACAGTCTTCAGCGTCTGACCTCTGGCTGGAGGAGGACACGCATGGACACGGCCTGTTCTTCGGACAGCCGCGCGCCAGGGGGCTGTAGGCTGGTCCTGGGGCAGGCACATCATAGCCTGTCCTAGGAGCCTGCTCCCCGCAACCATTCACAAACGTAACACTTCAGCTGGTACTGTCCGCAAAGGGCCTGCTCTGGTACCGGGAGTGCGGCTGCAGCGCCTAGCTGACTCCCACTCGTGTCTTCCTCACGACGACATTGGCTGGGCGGA